AATTTCCTGTTCCAGTGTCTTCAAGAAACAAAGAATTAGGAATCGTTTGTGTCGACGAAAACATCCCCGCAAATTCAATTAACTTGAGTTAGKATTTTGTTTTCTTGCTGGGAGAAAATTACCGAGGAATAAAGTAAAACAAAGATATCAGAGACATGTTGATTAAATGAAAGCCGTCTACGACGCAGTATGCGCAACGCGCACCTGAAGAATTGAAAAAACACATTTGTAGCTTCCTTCCTTGTCATTATTTGCYCAAATCAGACTTATTTTAAGTATGTGGTTGGTATAACCGGCTTTATATTTGCCGCCAGATTATTGTCATTAAATATAATACTTATCCTTGCAATTACAGCYGATAGACTAGGTATTGAACGATTTTCGGTAAAGGATGAGCCTAAAGCTGGTTATTTTGACCATTCACCGTGAGTCTATTACGTAATGTTCACTTTTATAAATTCCTTTTTTCTACTTTTTAATTTTCACTGCGAAGAATTATTTAGTAAATATTTATTAAATTTAGTAAACACGAGTAATCATCATGCAAAATTTACAGATTAATAATCACAAATTTAGTACAGTTATATCGTATAAGTCTAGCCTGTCTTTTGTGTGACATTTGTCATTGAGTACTGTCAGTCGGTCTCACCCAGTTATCCAGGTATCTATATGATCTAATTTGCTAGCGTTTTGAGAGTTCGCTAATCGTCGAGATGTTCTTTGAAAGTCTGCGCGTGTATCCACACTATTCAGTGTCCCTCGACAGATTATTCTCTTCAATGCTCTTCTTATGTCCTGGCTAGTAAATGCACATAGGAAAGGATGCATCGCTGAATTCAAACACACTAAGAGAATAGCGATTTTACGAGTGACAGTCATCTGTTGTGAGCTATGAAATTGAATATAAATATACGTGACRCCATCTAAGGTCCAACATAACGCAAAAAGCACAGTGATTGCTATTAAATTCACTGTGATTTTCTTTCGTACTTTTGTTACTGCCAATTGACTGATATCAACAATCTGTCGCTGTCCCTTAAATAAGTGATGCACTGTGAGCGAGTACAATAATGTCACCGCGGCTAGTGGACTCAAGAATGTGATAAAAACCAATACAATTGACCACACCTTGCCTTCTATCTTTCCTTCCCATTTTTCCGTGCAGCCAACCGGTTGACCGTCTATTTCACGAACCTGGCTTGTGTAGAGATGAGGTATATTCAAAAGAACTGCTCCACCCCAGCAAATCACTAAAACGATCTTAAGGCGTTTKGGATTGAGTCGTCGCGCTGATAAATCATGAGGGTTGACCACTGCGCGATATCTCTCGTATGCTATAACAGCCAARGAAAACCCAGACGTGAAACCACCAATCCAAAATATAGTTTCWCCGGTAACAAACTTGCATAAATAGTTTCCAACAATGCCATTAGGATGCTGGTATAAYAGACTGAATATGTACATAGCTACGCTGAACATTGCCATGATGATATTAGCCACGCAAAGATTCACCAATAAATAATACATCGGTATATGTAAAGAACGGGTTCGTTTCACCACGATGCAAGTTAAAGCGTTACCAATGATGTTGATGAATGCCAAAATACCAATCAGCACTGCAAGAATGATCTTATGATCGACCTTCATCCTTGAGTTHTGAGCGACGTATCACTAGACGATCCTCGCGCAAAAAGAGGCTTTCTATGCTCTTTTCTCTGTCGTTAGGATAAGAAGCGTAGTTTATCAGCRATTTTAATTCTTGCCTTGAGGGTACATTCAGTTATGTATGAATAGAATAACATACAAGACACTTTCCGAAAGAATATTTTCACCCATAAAGTATTTGTGCGAACAGTCGGGATAAACATATAAATGTACAAAASTGCTTTCATTTACGCATCGAMTCATTCTTTCGGTGACATGGTGTAGAGAAAATAACATTGACAACTCGCCGCTAAGCGAAGTTTGAATTTTAAAAGCGCTATCATTAGTGTCGAGGTTTGTCAGTATTAATTAAATGGAATGGGGACGGYGTAACGATATGGTAGGAYTCGTATCAAASCAGCTGTTTGTCGTGACGTCGTACAACGCAGTCTCATATAACTGACTTGGTATTAATTCCGTCCATGTAAATGATGCCCTAACGTCACACCGCCCTGTCTTATACGTGAATAAGAACACGCTGAATSGTAAACAACGCTACAAGATAAATCTAATAAAAACCTCTGACGCTACAGATTTCACTAGAAAGGGTTTTTTTTATTTTTAAGAGCACTAACTGTTTCGTACTCCTAATTCGCTTGTAATTATCAAAGCGATTTGTTTACAATGTTTTCTTTGTGTTTGTATAATAAAAGATGCTTTATTTCTCCCAGATTCGTTGTCGAAAAGTTTATTTTGATGTTGATGTTATTTTTTATGTTCCTTGATGTTATCGTCTTTTCTGCCGTTACTTCTGCTACTGCTTGTGTTGCTGGGGTTAGTGTTGTTATTTTCGCTTGTTCTTGTTCTTCTCAGTTTTACACTCTAGTCGCCAATCTGTGTGGTCTCTTGTTTTGCGCARTTTCTATTCCTGTTTTTGATAAACTGTTCTGCTTTTCTCATGCAATATTCTGTTGTACCTACTTATGTGGGTACCATTTATTGTACTCCTCAATGTACACTACCGGTAGTGAGTCCGCTGCTGCTCTAATTACTGTTTGCACTTCCCAATTGTCGCTTCTGGTGCGGTTTTTGTTGATGTTCTTTGTAATTTTATGGCGGCACCTGTTGTGTTCATTCTATTACTACTACTGACACTACTGTTATTGTTTATAGCTTCTGTATTTTTTTGCTAGCTGTTATGTAACATCTATGTCAGTTTTAAGATCATTAATAATGTTACTTTACAAAGTATTACAATCGTGAAATAAAATTTGATATCCAAGATGTAATAGTGAAAGTATTACTATCAGAAACTATTAGTTAAATATCTGTTGCATGGTTTTTTGCGACTTCAATGCAATGCCAGTGGTATATCGTTTATTATTTACTGCGAACCATGCTGTTTTACGGCTACATTACATCTGATTCCGCAATAAATAACGATAATATCTCTGTAAATGGTCGCTCGTGTCATGTTTTATTGATGTTAGTGTTCTTCCTACCATAAAATTCTCCTGTCATTCTCTATCTGTATACATATTGACTTTACCCACCTTCTAAGGCGTTGTGTCACAGTTCTATTTACTGATTCTTCCACCTGATAAAAGGGCTATCTTTCTTTTGTGTACTTAAAMCTATTCCCAAAAACTTTCAATTAATGGYCCCGACCGAATCTTCCGTTGGTTAGAAACTTGGTATTTAGTCGCAAAATACTGAGTCGCACTGTCTATCAATAACACAAACTCAACTGATAGCCTTTTTTTAATAGCTGTCAACATATTGCATAAATCGGCYCTTTACTAAAGCTTACTTGTTTTCGTGAACCTGCAGAGGCGGTAGTTTCTTTCTCCGAAGAGMAAATCCMCTATTAAAGGATTTTTTCATTAAAAAACCCATAAATAAACTGAAAGCTTCTCACTTTTAGTGCTTTACTTTGAGGGGAGTAATTAAAAGGCTTTTTATTGTGATTGCAAGGACGATGAAACATGTGGAAGTTTCTAGTAATTTTGTTTGCTCTTTTTGGTTTTAATATTGTTTATCGTTTTGGTCTCATTCAAATTTGGTGACTTTCTAATCGGTCGATCAGTTTTATAGCAAATATTGTAAATGTTTTAGCGTTCGTCTATCAGCAAGCGAGTCAAAATGGCTGCCCAATGTACAACTCGCTTATTTTGTAGGCTTTGCGGTGTCCGTGTTAAAAAAACCCGAGCTACTTTCAGTTTATCTAATAATCTTATAAGTAGTTCCCGGGCTTATCGGACTTGAAAATCCTTTAAAAGGCTACTACTTTTGATGCCATCCAAAATCCCCATAATAATTTTTTACSTTTTGCTCTTATCTTTAGATTTATATTTATCATTTAGTGTTTCCACATGGCTTTCCTCCATGACATAGATATGACTAAAAGTCATTTGGTTGTACTAGAAACAAAATAATAGTCTTATGATATTAGCATTGGCTCCTTCACTGARAGCTTTCTAGTATCAAAATTAAAAGGCTGTTATTTTTCTACGTGACGTTCTGAATGATGTTTTTGTTTGTATTTTCATTCATGATCGATWCAGGCTATCGTTSTGTGATGCTCAGACTTGAAACGCCTGTCGTATMAAATATTACAGACAATATTAAATGCCTTTTTTGTTACGAAATTTAATTCGCTTGGATTTTAGCGCATGTTTGTGTTTAGTTTCACTGTTATTGTTTTGTTTGTTTTTTAATTCGTCCATTCCTTCTGGAAACTAATTCTCTAATGTAAGCCTTAGCATGACGGAGAAGCTCAAGCATTAACTGGGAATTCCTTTTGAGGAAGGACGCTAGCCTTTGGCTTCCAAAACATTCAACCTTCAAGCGTTGTGTTCGACATTTTGTTTATTGTTTAAGTATACCGCTGAGAGCAGAGAGACGTGTGGTAACCTTGRAAAATCAGTGGATTTGGAATCTGTGAAACTCAATCGTTTTGATAAATATAGATTGCCATGATTTTATTTAACTTTGTTGAAATTTGTTTCTCTAGTCAGGTTTTCAGTCTAACAACTCCTTTCTTATCTAAAATTAACGTCCATCGAGTATTTTGTATGTTTTCACTGAATAACAACCTAATCGGAAGAAATACTCATTTYGATTGACCTTATTAAAAGTTCTTACTTGAATTAAAAGCTGTATTTTTCCTTTCAAGTGGCCTCAAGTGTCTATATATTGTTATTAAATCGCATATGAGTCGAATTAGTAGACACAGTCTTTTTGTCAACAGCAAAAACAAAAATCTTACGGCACTTACCGCACTTACAGCGGCTTCGCATACAATAACAATAATAATAAYAACAAGAATTGATGTTAATAACATTAACGAAAGCGACAATTACATTGATAATCTTGGAAGAATAGCGATAAAAATTGTAATAACCGACTAACTTTAGCTTTAACGTGGTCACTTCCTGTTCTTTTACGTCGTTATGACGTCATTCTACTTTTACGCTAAGGATTGTGGACGCAAAATTCCGACAACAACAGAAACAAGCAGAAAAACAACTTTACTGTTTRTGTAATTTTTATACCTTGAAAACTACTAGTTTCTAAATGTTTTATTTCTTTTTACTTAATAGTCGTTTTTCTTGCACGATAAAATGTCGAGTCCCTCTCGAGTAGACATTAAACTCGCGAATCAAATTAAAATCTAATTGTAATGGCATAATAGTCAAATATTGTGWTTCAAGATCACTGTGGGGGGTTTGTAAGACTAAGAGTTTGAATATATATTGTTCTTTTTCAACAAATACTAACTGAATAACCATTTTCGTTTCACTGTTAAATCGCATACGAAACACAATAACATTAGCCAGTTATGGCATTTTCACAGGTTTGACGCAAAAGTATGAATATTTCACTGTTTTCATGGCTTCACTAAGCTGTCATTCAGTYGATTTTCAGTGATATTCTTGTTGTTTGTATTTTAGCTGGTGTTCTTTCCCAAGACAATCATCACAGTCCAGTTGTATCCCTTAGGCCAGTCGTCATGCCAGGAGATAGGTACGATTGGTCGGTATAACATGTCAGCGGTACTATGTTATTGCGCATGCCTAGATATAGAGAACCATCCAGTCAATCGGGTTTTTTTGTTATTTTTTCTCATGGACATAAAGGTAGATAAAAAAGTATTACTACGGAAAAAATATGTTAAAAAGATAAATGAATAAATAAATAAGAAATGAACAGAAAGGGAAAATAATAACATCTTTTGAATTTTTGGAGGCGTAAAACATTCACGACGTGTCAAGAATTTAAAGGCAAAACGAGCAAAAAACTGTAAATTAAACACTCAAAGATTTGATTTTAACCTTAAAAATAAACATTTGTTTAATATAGATCTCTGCTGCAGGAGATATCTCAATCAGCGTCCAGGTAAACCCTTTAAATTTCTAAAAACTACAGTCAGCTTAACGATGTAACGATCTTCGTGTTAAACATTATAAGCGGTTCTTTGGGTTTTGTTTCAGTTAAAAATTTATCAATTTCTCGTATTATATAGCTCTAATCAAAATRAAAAAATAACTGATGATTTTACAAAATAACGTTTACAAAATGTTAAAAATAATTGAATAAGAAACGGTATAACTCTCAATGCATAAAATGTTACAAACGTTTTGTTTTCTTTTCCAATCCGTGTACTAGCGTGGTGTGAACCAGTGAAAAGAATATTACCACTGTAAAATTATGACTATTATATGACTATCAATTATGGCTGATACTATTATTATTCTGAATATCTTTCAGTATGAAGGCGTCTTCTAGCTTGGGCAGCGGTTTACGTGCAGGTAMGACTTCCGCTAATCAACTCCTACCTTTCTAGTCTCCCCTGCAGCCCTTTCAGTGTCACACGCTACACGTTTAGCTACACTGTAAATACTAAATGTGCTGTTTTTCACGATTGGCTAAGATTTATGTGTTTGATTACTGGACGAAATACGATAGTCGGCTATTTATTCTTACCTTATCGTTTGTCTTCCCGTGTTCTTTTTGGTATTAGATTCCATTATGTAACCATTTTAAAGCCAACGTGACTGAACAGTCAGTTGTACAGTCATATTTGTATCGTTTAACATATTCATTTTCTCCTTGTTTTTAGACGACATGGTCGGTCTTTCCTTTCAACTTGCTTCACTAGAAGAAGACGCTGTTGTCCATATATGGGTAAGTAAGACGCTGTTGTCCATATATGGATATGTAAGCTTGTTAATTGCGGTCTATGTTACGCGCTATGTTACGTGCTATGTTACGGGCAATGTTACGTACTGTGTAGTATGTGCTATGTTTGCGCTATGTTACGTGCCATATTACGCGCTATGTTACGTGCTATGTTACGGGCAATGTTACGTACTATGTTACGTGCTATATTACGTGCTATGTTGCAGGCTATGTTACGCGCTTGCTACGCACTGTTTAGGCTCAGTCTCCAGCCGTCGGGATTTCGTGCGCCCGCGATTCTCTCTCCCCTGACGGCTGGGCGCATGGGGTTCGAAACGTGTCGCGCATGTCCGTGACGTTTNGTTAACGAAGTACCGCCGTTTACATTACAATAACTATCGATATTTTCTTTGATTGACTTGTATGATTTGGATGGAAATAAAAAATTGATGACCTAAAGGCGATTCTTGATGGACGCCAGAAATGGAAGACCAAATTGTCTATTAATGAAAGCATTAAAGTCAAAAAAGAGAAACAAGGAAAGGAAACTTTGAAGTATGAATTTGGGTGGAAGCATTGGTCCGGTCAAAAATATGTTCAAAAAAAGAAAGGTCAGGGTGGTGGGATGCGGGAATATAATGTACCCAGGCAATCTAAGAAAGAAGAGCTGTCAAAGATCGCAGTAGGGCTGTTCTTCCCTAAAGGTAACCAGCTATGTACAGTGTGCATATTCAAAGCTTATAAAATAATAGTTTTAAGCAGTTACATTGTATAGAGTGAGTGTACTTAATCCGTGAAAAAGTTTAGATGGCTCAATATCTAGTAGTCAAATAACAAAAGAATTCTAGAGATTAGTTTCTAACTCTCAGAGCCGGTTGATTCCAGCTGTGCGTACTATAAACGCCAGTTCATGTGGACAGAGAGTATAGCAGAGGTGTTGCGAGCATAAGAGGATTAAATTTAAAACCTACTTCGTATACACAGGGCGAAAAAACGAATTTCCGCAAACGGATTTTTCCGGAAATGTGCTCATTGCAAATTTCCGTCGGATTTACGGTAACGGAAACCACTCTGCTTAGTAGCTAAGTCATAGTTACGTTTCCGTTAAACGTTTACGGCAATAAATGCCGTAAACGTATCTACAAGCGTTTCCGTTGAATATAAGTTGTGTGGAAACTAGTGTTACTTATTTAAGTGTAAATTAGTCATCCAGTCGTGATAATTAAATAAAGTGATAAGTCAAATACTGGACCAAAGTTGAAACAATTCACGACGTTTCGATCGATCACATCGATCTTCCTCAGGTAGAATGACCAGTTGTTGTTCTGAAAGGCGTTCCTCGCCGCTTGCCTCACAATAAAACCCTGGTTGGNTTACGTGCTATGTTACGGGCAATGTTACGTACTATGTTACGTGCTATATTACGTGCTATGTTGCAGGCTATGTTACGTACTATGTTACGTGCTATATTACGTGCTATGTTACGGGCAATGTTACGTACTATGTTACGTGCTATATTACGTGCTATGTTGCAGGCTATGTTACGCGCTTGCTACGCACTGTTTAGGCTCAGTCTCCAGCCGTCGGGATTTCGTGCGCCCGCGATTCTCTCTCCCCTGACGGCTGGGCGCATGGGGTTCGAAACGTGTCGCGCATGTCCGTGACGTTTTTGTGTAATTAGTGAAATATCTGACAACAGCCGTAAAGGTTTTGCTACAAGTTGGGAAATTATGTGAAATGAAAACTTCGCGAAGTAGCGATATAATGTAATAGTTAGCGCTTTAAAAAAGAGAAAGGAATGGAAATTACCCCAAGTAAAACATGTGTAGGGTTTAATAATCCAAATGGATGTATTATCTGCCAGAAAAACGAGCAAAATACACTAGTGGCGCTGTTTGAAAAATAAGAGATTTGCCCGAGCCAGTATAGGAAGAATAACAAGGACATCTTTTCCAAGAACAATCTCTTTAAGAACCTTTTGCTGTATTTCTCTAAATTCGTCCAAGCTAAACGACTTCAGAGCCTTCAAACAAGCACTTTCAAAGAGAATCTCAAACGACGAATTGTACGCCACTTTGTTACACTGCTACCTGCTAATTTATTAATGTTATGCCCCTGAAAATATCGGGGGCCACTCGCTGATTGGTCAAGACTGACAATAGCGAACCCCATGCGCCCAGCCGTCAGGGGAGAGAGTATCGCGGGCGCACGAAATCCCGACGGCTGGAGACTGAGCCTACGCACTGTTCCGCATTTATTTTGATGTCTCTTTTCATTACCATTCCACTGGTAGGTTGTCGTCGAACTTGATGCCGCTGACATAGCGGGCTCAGAATCAGATTTGGGTATGTACCATAATATTTTCGTTTGACAGATGTGTGTTGACAGCTTCTGAGCGTTCATCTTTATTTGATTCTTGTAGGGCTAGCCCCAGGAGGAAAAATTAAGCTGATCAAAAGTGCGTCTCTTACGCTAGAACTGCCGATGAGGTAAGGGCTGATGAGTTTATTTGAATCAAATGAATGTATGGATCTATGAATGAATAAAAAAATAATAAATGTATGAATGGACGAATAAATGAATGAAAAATGAAATGGGATGAATATAAATAAATGAATATTTTCGTTTTTTTATTTCATGTACTTGTGTATCAGCTTTAAAACCCAAATCTATAGACTATAAGTCAATTGATTCTAATTTATTTAATTTATTTTTTCAGAGGTATACGGAAAACTACGGCATTACAAACGTTTTGTATGCGACTRTTACCTCAAGATCCCAATCACTTTTACGTAGGAACTGATACGGTACGTACCAGCTAGTTTGCACGTAGGATCGATACTTGTTGTTTAGCCTCCTCCTCAAGGGTCTCTTTTTTTCTTCTAAAAATTCACGGGCTTCCTGTGTTAGATCAGTCAGAGAAAGGGACTAGTAACAAGGCAGAAAAAATCCCTATGTTTTCCACAGGGAACCCGAAATATCAAAGAAWTATATGATTTACATGTGTCTTCTTATAGGGATGTGTACTACATAGRATAAGACATGGTGGCAGAGCCCCTCCCAGGGCWTACAAACCRAAAACCGGTATGAWCTTTRTTTAGGTTTACTGAAGTAGTATAGTATGCCATAACAGTCCCTTTCATTGTAACAATAGACTGCTTAGTTGACGTCACAGCAATTGATGTATCGCCATGGCAACTTCCTTGCATTCTGGTAAGTAGGTCACTAACATGGATTCATTATGTTATGCGTATATTAAATTGATTCCATTGGTTATATATCAGGCTGGCAGTAGAGATGGGAGTGTCAGACTGTATCATCTGAATAACGGTGAGTCTTTAACCTCTAAAGTTTAACACCTGGTTGTACAAAGGGTGGATACAGTTATTCACCCTTAATTATTAATGAAAATATAGTCAGATTCAGTTAAATCGACGGATGGAAACGGATTCCRAAAGAATATTCGARGTCACCTCGTWTTTCAATKATTARMGGCTTATRACACTAACATTATCTCGCAGAATAYCCACRTAGCACATGGACCAAYTCAACCCAAGGTAGTCCAATAGTGTCCGTCCAATGGTCTCGTAGTGTACCGAATGTATTTTTTGTTCTCGACGACAACTCCATTTTAYACACWTGGTAAGTKTGAGAAACACGATGCAAAGCCRAKMGCGCGCAAACTATTTTTACTACAATCACTATATATTGTTTTGCAGGAATCTTTTGCAAAATGAGTCTTCACCAGTCGCGATCGATAAAATAAAGCAAGGAAGGTAAGACRAGAGCTCGTACCATCGTGTAGTAATGAAATGCTATCCACGTATCGTATTTTTTGCTGGACTTAAAACGAATAGTGAATATGCTCTTGGTATCGTTATTTTAGTCTCCAATGTTAACTCTCAACTTGAAAAGTAATTTCAACAAGTGCTAAAGGACATTGTTTAAGAATGACTTTCTTGTCATAACAGTTATTGCACCAAAAAGCTTTTCGTGCTTGTCAAAGTCAGAGTTGATGTATAATGGTAGTATTATATATTGTAGGGTCGTGTGTTTTGAGCTGTCCAGTGATTACACTGCCAGTGGTATTGGCGTTCCTGGAAGAAATCCAGAAATGGTAATTATATGACAATCATTTTGTTCATTAGAAATGAGAAAACTAACCAGGATGCACTGCGGTCGTTTGYTTGATTTATTCAAAATSGGAAAATTAGCCTCTTTGTAATGATTTTGAATATCTCATTTAGTAAATCCATGCACTGTTATCTGTCAGTTTTAGATATTTACAATATTTCGACTCAAACAATATGTTCAAACAAGTAATAATTAGCTTTACTAAAAATCCTTTCAATACTCCAGTTTCGAATTCATAGCGAATAACCGCTGCTTTATTTGACAACAGATTCTCTTGCGCAAAGACTTTACAAACACAAAAGAGAGCACGAGAAAATGTCGTTATTACAATAGACTTTGAGAAAATTTGCATTTTCCCCGAGTTGAGATTATCCCTGTATTCCCATAAGACCTAAGGTATGAGCAGGGTTAGCCTCAACTCGGGGAAAATGTAGATCCTTAGCGCTATTGTATTAACAACATTTTCTCGTGCTTTCTTTTGTCTTTGGTAAGTTCTTTGCGTAATAGAATCTGCTGTCAAGTAAAACAGCGGTTATTCGCTTTGAATTTGAAAATGTTTTTGAAAATGTGCCTAACGTAAAGTGTACGTACTATGATCAACATCCTCTGAAACCCAAGACCCCAGGGTTTCCTAGGATGACCCCTGCAGACTTTAATCATTTTTAATTTTGGATTATTTTAGGTTCTTGGTTATGAAARTGGAACGGTTGAGGTGCATAAAATAAGCTCACGGTATTCAAAAGCCTCTGCAGATGAACTGGACAGGTTTAACGACTATTTGGARGCAGTGATGTGACGACCCACTCGACATGACATCGCCACGATAAGTAGATAGGAAGCTAACTATACATAGTTTAACCCACTAATATTGTATAGAGATTACAGCGGAACCTCGTTAATCCGGCCACCCATTGGTCGTTTAAGGGGGTAGGAAAGTATGGTGATTTTTCGCCCGGTCGTTATGACAAGGTGCCCGTGTTAMGCGGGTGGYCGTAATGTGGGGTACTGTATGTTATATAAACACTGGTATTCGTGTCCCTGAACTATACTACTACTGAGAATTGCAAGAATTTCACTATATCTTTGTTTAATGCATCATTGTAAAAATACGCTTTCATGCAGTCATTCATTTGTATCACAAACACCTAGTAGAGTACAGTTACTTTAGGTAAGTTGTAATATAGTTTTGTATAGTATATCAATGGTGAACAATACATTGCATGTATAAAGAAACTCCCAATGCTTAGTGTCCCTATAAGCAACCAAATATAGTCGATCCAGTTGCCCCAAAAACGCCGCATTTTTGCTCAAGGAAAGCAAGAACAATGAAAATGAGTGCTTGGGACAATTTGGGACGATCACATGTCCTTACTGTATTAACCATAATGTCAGGTTACACTAAAGCTAATTTGTAGTTTCGATAAAAATATGGAATAACCTTTTCTTAATTCAAGACCTCTTACTTATGGACATTTTTCTCATGTTCAGTATTACAATTATTTAAGTACTCGAGAAGAAAAGATTTACACTTGTTGAATGTCAATGAAACTAATTTCATCAAAATGCGTTATATGTCTTTCGTTCGAGGTCTGCTTTCTCCAGATGCAGAGTGTTTTCTGGACGTGACAACAGTGTAAATATATTTATTCATTCACTTGTGTGAGCAATAAAAAGGAAAACACAAAATTTCTTATGTCAATCGTCTCTTCAAATGATCTCAAATCCCGTTTAACTTAACCAATTACCATTTTACTGTAATGGAACCACTCACTTTTCTTGTCCTCGGAAAATAAGTCTAAACTAAACCTACTAGTGCTATCTTTAATACATAATCTATGTTAGTGCTGTCTTGGAATGATGGTCTGTGTATTATTAATGAGTTTGGTGGCTAACCGTTACCTGTTCAGCTATACGACGACCATGTGTCGCGGGTATCTTGCGATCGTATAGAACTACTATGTTTACATTGTATTATGTACATGGATGGAAGAACTTAAAACGACAAACCCCGTATTGAAACATGGTTAGTAGAACTTTTGACTGTATTTATAAATCGTAGTTATACTTAAACAGCTTAAATAAGATCTTCAACGACAAAAAACTGTTTCGAGAGTTGAAAATTATCTGCACAAGTTTAGGAGTAAAATTTTATTTGAAAGTTATTTGATAAGTTTCCGTTTCAAATTATAAAGTTTTTCATTTATTACATACATGCATATACCATGTAAAATGCCAATTATTTTATGTGGTGGCATGAGGTGTTGAAATTAAGCCTGATAATCCGTGAAAACATGTGAAAAACCGAAACAGCTCAAAAAAGTGGTTTCTTAATGAGACGGTAATGATACTGAAAGCAAATGRAATCGGAATGTCTGGTGAGATAAACTATATCCTATCTTAGTCTGTATATCATTCTTCATAAAATTTTAGTATTAAATCTTATATTGCTATATATGCGGTAAAGGCCTGATGAGATGATGAGATTGCTCCGAAATGACAAAGTTAAATATAGTTTCATGTAGAATATCGTGTCTATTTTGATACACTTCTGCAACATTGCTTGTCCTAAATTCATCCTTAACCATACTTCCTGGAAAATATTTCCTGGAAAAGATAGCTAACTACTTCTGAGTATTCARCCTGCGATCGACAGGGAGTCAGACTTCTAACTGATAATCATTTATATTTTTATACAGAAAAAYGATCGTGATCTTCATCGTAAACTTTCTGACTGGGACAATCATGTACACAGTACAAACGTGCCACCATACCACACATTGATCGATTAYCTATGTCGTAGAATTATTTCATCTCGCTGTTTGGTTCTGGTGGGGTGCGTCGTTAGATTCTTATTAAGATGTTTGCTGTATTTCCTGGGATTTGAAGAAGCGCATAAAAGGTATGRAACCACATTGCAGTACTGGGAATTTACTGAGGCTTTTAGATCTAAGAAATATCTCTTTTTTACGGAAAGTTGTATGTTAACCAGCGTTTTTTGGTCACCATCATGGTCCCTATATCTTCCAATTCCTCGTCGATCAATTAATCATAGTTATTAACTTTTTTCTAGAAAAATATTTTCCTCTAATCTTATTCGTTTAAGAATCCAAGAAGACCATGACAAAGATGCCATTAACAACTGCTGGTATTGCCCRAAGTTGGCAGACGATAGGTTTGGACTTCGCCCAGGAGAAACAATCCTSGATGCTAGCASTCTACCCAACCAAGTACAAATATCATACGCTATKRTAATACGAGGGCTTGCTCACGATCCATCGACCTCTATTCTTGATGGCCTTGGCGAAGACAATAATAATAAYAACAAGAATGTTAGTCCAGGTCGACTTAAAGAMGACTTTAATTCTCCCATGGTGCACCGCGCTGCCTTAYTAATTCTTTCGATACTGAAAGCGCGAGAGTTTTATTGTGGAGACCAGTTTAACCCTGATATGTACAGAGAAAAACCATTGACCATGCAGTGGTATAGTTATTTGTTTGGTACATCGATACAATTTCATCGTGAACTCATTGAAAGGTACACTACGTCCAGGGAATTTTCCAGGCATATAGTGGTGATATATCAGGAAAAGTTGTACAAAGTACATCTGATAAGGAAAGATGTTATGGGCGAAGATGTGATGCCCACATATGAAGAAATTAAGGTATGAAATTCATTTCCTGCATCTCATGAACCATGTACAAAATGTCTGACTACTTCTTTATCCTTTTTCCCTTCCTCCCTTCCCCCTTTCCTCCCTTCTTCCATTCCTTCCTTTCCCCATTCATCCCTTCCTCCCTTCCCCTTCCTCCCCTCCTCCCCTCCTCCATTCCTCTCTTCTTCCTGTCCTAGCTTCCTCCTTTCCTCCATTTCTCCCCTCCTACCTTCCTTTATTCTTCCCTTCCTTCACTCACAAGTTTATTCATTCAATAATTCTATACATTTTCACTCATTCGGAATTTCTCTTTACAGAGACAAATGGAACGAGTTGTTCAGATGTCCACTGATAAATCAGCATTATGTGTAAATCCATTGACAACACTTCCAGCAAAGGAACGCTACTTACTTGAACAGAATCTAAGAGAGGCCAGTGATAGAAATCGTTACAACTTCGGCATTATTCGAGACTGTTTACTAGTGGTTTCTTTAGATTCCGAAGATTCGCCGAGAATGGCTAACGAGACMCTGTATTTTCTGCATTCTAAGAATTTTTCAAACCGTTGGTATGACCGTAGCGTTAATCTTGTGGTATTTAAAAATGGAGTTGCTGGTTTTGTAATGAATTATTTGTGTGGTATGACTGGGACTGTAGTATCGTCGTTTGTTCAATTGATTAAACAATTTGAAGAGGAAATTCTGCAAAAGTTACAAGAAGAGAATTCAGCTAAACATGGTAAGTTCAGAAACACGTTACGTAATCTAGTCACAATAACCTATGTAGAGGGGGAGTCATGATTTGTGCTGTCATTTCAAAACGATTTTTGTGTCCATCTGTGATACTTGAGAAGGAAAACTAAGTCCCCTTGCGACAAATGATCCGCCATTAAAACGTTTCTCCTTTTCTAAAGAAAAAGAAACCACATATAAGACAAACATTACCATCACGGCTAGCCCAGAAAGTTGCCTTACCATTAAACTCCAAAACGTGAGCCAGGAAATATATCAGACCTCTCTTTTTCAGATCAAATCAAGCTGAAAGAATTAAGCTCACCATCTCTTCTATCATGGGATGACACGGAGGACAGCACCATTTCCAGGAAGATGAAGCTGGTACGAAGCTTAAAAAATCAAAGTTGTCCTTTCACCCCATCATGCCCAGCTATGTTTAAACTACGATGCGATGCAACAAGAGATAAATTGATCTGTTTAGGTGTCAGTCCATCAGGGACTTTTCAAGCTGCTCTACAGCTTGCRCTAATGCAAATGTGCAAACGACCGATGGGTGTGTTTGAGATTATCAGTATAAGGTACCTTATGATTATTATTGTTACTATACTTATTAATATTCTTCTTTGAAGTTGACTTTGTTCATATTTTCACTTTCGAATCACTTTTTTTTCGCCTTCTGGAGCCAGGGGCCGGTTGTACGAAAGGTGAATAGCGCTATCTACGGATGAACCCTTATCAGGCGGATAAAATCACATACCAAGTCTAGTGGATCACTACCGGTGGATAACTTTATCCAATCTTAACCTTCGTACAACGGGCTCCTGAAGTAGAACGTTAATCTAAACAAATATGATGTGTATAGAGATGGTGGATAAACCTTATCAAAGTGGTGGATAGCCCATCCATCTTTTATATAACTTCCCCCGTTTCCTATTCGTCCTACCATTTCATGATTCTTTCCTTTTTTATTTCATACACACGATCAAATGAAGGCACTTCAAGTTTGGAGGYCTGGCATGGATGGAAACAAACACCGCTGATATGAGACTATTCATAACCGCAGCTTYAGAATATCTCGCAAACCCAAATCCTGGTTCTAAAGCAGCACTTAAAGCATTACTTCTTGGTGCGATTAAGTTGTACAGAGAGGACGTTTTACGACATAAGAAGGGGGAAATTAGTTTGTGGCATTTGGATGCCATTTATTGCGCTCTTGGCTTACAAACTCGTCTTCCTGGCCAGCGAAGTAAAGCGAAAAATTTGAGGTCATTTTTACAGCAGCCTTTAATTGACTATCTAAGAMGTTGTGGAGATTATAACGCGGTTTTGCCGCCGCGTGTGGCAGAAACGCTTACGTCAAACCCTAGCTGGAATCCAGCAGTTGAAGCAGTGGGTCGTGTAGGGGCAAAGAGCATGTTACCTTTAGGAGGTAAGACTTAATACTGATCTAACAAATTGTTGCCTCCCCGGCCTGCAGCTCTTATGGGGCAGGTCTCTGATACAACTGCGGACAAAACTAAGCGACTTGCCCATTGAATAAATCTTTACAATTACAATCTTTGCGATCTTTCAATTGGAATCTACAAAACGTCTACATGGTATTGTCCACACGATAAGAGATATTTATATTAAGCGTATATATTTTACACATGATTAGCATTGTATATTTACTGTTTTATGAAAATCAAGGTTTGATTTTAATCTAAAGTTATTCTATTCACAGTTCATTATTTATTCAGCCRGACATCGATCGCCGTTACTGTCTGTAGTTCCAAATCCCATCCCTGCCATAGAAAGCACAAAGAGTTCGCAAAGGAACTCGACAAAGCCTTTAAATTCATCATAGAACTGCTTACTGAAGACGATCAAGGATAAATGATAGGAAATATTTTTTTAGGAAATATCAAGTCTTTGAATTAGATAGAGTCTAGGATGTAATGGGTAACTTGGGCTTAGTGTTACGAGTACAACTAAAACTTAGCTACGCATGCATTGCAAATTATGATGTACACAGCTACAACTTTACCACCATTCACAACTATAAACTGCTCCAGGTCTACTTAAAAAAACAATTTGAGTGAAACTGCCCTTAATGTAGCAGTGGCTAACACATTCTCTTATAGAAAATCTGCAATATTGGGGATAAAATATTTTAAATTCAATAAACAGAACAACACTCTTTTAAATGATCCGGTAAAGACTGTTTCTTTGCTGCTTCGGTACGGTATTATATGAATTCGTGGCAAGAGGCGTTGCATGGGCTTCCTGTGTCAAACCCAAAAGGCCGTTCTTTTGATTTATTGCCTTAAAGGCTGTGGTCCATATGACAGCGTATCGTAGTCAATCAGRGTGGTTAACACATTATTTTCAGGACACACGTGTTGACGATTGCGGCCTATCAGTGTCTTCACCTTGACCTTCTTTAAGCAATTATACACATCTTCCAAGCACATGATTCTTGGGATTGCGTATTGATCAAACAGCGCTCTCCCGTGTTCCATATTTCAATCTATATTTGCTTAGTAAGGTTAAGATTCCACCATTCAAACAACTGTCAGTTTTGTAAAGAAATATACACTAATTGTGGGGAGCGGAGTTTTTAAAGGGCAGGGAACATCCATTTCACAAACTGAAACGGTCCAACCAGTTTGACATGAAGACAAGCTAAATAATTATTGATGCACTCAACACATAATGAATACAGCATGCAGACGCACAGAGTACGTGAACGGATACTTAGAACMCAGAGGGGTGTACATATGGTCTTAGTTTGATACTCACAGGGGGTGTGCCTCCCCCTGGTCGCTAACTAAGTAACTATTTCTGCGGTTCTTGACGTGGGTCCAAAACTCGATGTTTCTAAACTACGGCGAGTTCCACTCTACCTAATGCTTTGCCTAATTTGAAATAGGATTTAGATATGTTTATTTTAGAAAAGCTTGACTTTTTAATCAGAATTTAACCTCTGAATTTGATGTTTTTGTATATAACTTTAAGATACAAATTATTCGCCAWGTTGTGGGACAAGAATAATCACCAGAGCGAAGAGTTGATTAGACCCATGTAAATCCGCGCTGGACAGTCTCTGACCACAAGGCCAAAAACTAAATTCACCACCATTCACTCRGGACCGCGGGTTTTTTCCTTTGGTTTCTTATTGTGTCTTTAAAGTAACATAAAAACTGCACATCACTGAACTTCAATATCCTCAAGGCGAGACGGAAGACATGCATTACAACTTGGGATGGGTGAGGTTTTGTCCGAAGGACGCAAATCATTTCAAGCGAAGGATTTTTAATTCGCCTTCTCATGTGCTTTATAAATATTTTTATCATTGACATACTACAGGCCGATTCGGAGCTATTCRCAATTTCTCGAACCATGTTGCACATGAAAAAGAACTTCCAGAATCATCTTCAATCAACAGTACGGATTTTTCTATTTCCCTTAGATTTGGTGGTTTCCTGAACATCTTATGGAGAAATATTCTAACTATGGAAAATACTATTATACTGGGGGACCGCGTGAGATATCTCGTGATAATATGTTAATAACATATTGCATTAATATCGGTAAAGCAGGACGGACCTAAAGCAATAACTATAAACCTACATAGTGATAACTCTAGGCAATACTGGAGAAATCCTCGGCCAGTCGCATGCTTTTCGTTCTAATGAGGCCCCAAAAAAGGTCGGAATATCGTATGCTTTTCTATTGGTTCATCACGTTATTACTGTCGTTTTGTTTGTTTGTTTTTTGACGTAGTTACGTGCATTCGATTATTTTTACAACAAACCATGGACACCATATCACAATAATTYCCTATCAATCTGACTATTGTTTCGTAATACCTATCTTGGAAGTGTCTTTTTAGCTAAATATATTATATGAGCTTAGATTTGCATGCTCCTAAAATCTTTCTTCGTCTTTCTTCTCGATATTGTTACACTGATACATTCTCACGACGATTAACAAGTCTGAAAATCAACCATAGTATGACTATTGTTAAGGGTTTGGTACAGCTGAGAGAGAACTGCATGTCGCCATAACTTTAATAAAGGTTGCTGCACCCACGCACTGAAATTATCGCCGTGGTTGCTTTTGACTCTTGATAAAGTGCTTATTATTTCTTTTTCTATTTTTTGAAAAAATATCGGGTTTTTTTTGCTGAACATTAACTTTGAAATTCAAAAAGAAGTTTCCAAAAACTAATTGTTCAATCCAGTTATTTTAGTGAGCTATCGCAAATCTGAAAGCAAAGGCTGCACCTGAATAAGGTTACTAACTACGAACATTGTAGCTTGTACTTGTGGACTTAGATTCAATACGTTTGAGTAGCTGTTTTTTTGGCATTCATAAGATTTTATTCATTTCACCGAATCTACACGCTTATCGTTTTTCCAGTTTAAGGTTGTTTTCGGTTTATTACCTATGACGTCATAATTCGGTTTCCTGTCGTGAGGGGAATAGATTTACCGAAGTAAACACGAATTTCAAGCCTTATCCGGGTTGCTAGATGGTGAACACGCAAAATTGTACAGTAGTGTAATTGTTTAGTCAGTGTTTACAGGAAATAAAAGCATTTCCAGGAAAATCAGGACACGATAATGGTTGTTGTATAAAGTAGAAAATTCAACAGATGTGTTTTGAGTTCTCAGGGAACTGAAAAGAACTTTTTTGTCTAATGTCAGGGTCGTAACATGGTAATTRATTGTGATCAGCATTTATCAATCTTAGGATTGGTATTAAAGAAAAAAAAGAAAAGAAAGGATATTAGGATCAGACAGGATCAAGGATCAAAATAAAAGGACTTTTGGATGGGATCTAGGATCATTATTTACTTTCCTTCCTTCGGGAGTGAAACTTCCTTGTGATAAGTCCTGAACGACAGAACTCAGGGTCGGCCGATCAATATAGTTACTTATTAAACCAATGTTTCCTTACAACTCTTTCTTGAAGAAACAAAATTGACCTACTTTTGACTCATTTAGTACAATAGATTGTATCTGGGTTTACAAATTATGATATAATTTTTCAATCTGCAACTGTTTCAGAACTTCGTTATCAAGTCCCGTGCATTTAGCCTGTGACGTCATCATGCAACAACATATTAATTTTTCATTTTCAAAGGTC